CACAGGTGGAGAACAGGGTGGAGTTATCAGAAATTATAAGTTTTGGTCCATTTCTCCTCCAGCTACATCAGTGTTGAAAGCCACCGTCTTCAAAAGGAGTCAAAGCTAGGCCAGCGCTGAGCTCCTCAGCACTAGTTGGCACCCCCAGTGAAGAGGGACATCTCTCTCTGGGCTCAGGATTGTGGCTAGCCTGTGTGATTTCAGATGTGCTGTGGAAAGACCTTCTGCAGCCCCTCTGAAGCGACCTGCCGCCTGCACACACGTGGCTCTGCAAGCCTCCGTGGCGGAAAGTGCTCAGCTGGCATTGCCACAGCTTTAAAATATCTTGGAAAAAGCACGAAGCTGTTCGTATAATTTCAAAGCCGTGTCTCGTATCCAAAGCAGCGTGGTGGTTTCAACCCTGAAGCAACAGTCTCTCGAGCGTATTCTTAGTGTAACTGCGGATGGATCAAACTGACAAGCCTTTTGATTGCCAGCAAACCCGTCTAGCACTAACTACGTGTTTCTGCTCCATGTGTGTGGCCAGAAGCTGCTGAGAAACCCACCGGTTTCTTGGTGGAGCTGGGTGTGAGCTACCGTATTCCCAGCTGAAAACCTTAATCTCGGCTTTTGCGAAGCTCGAAGGTCCTCAGATGCTCTCTGTGTGTCAGGTTGGGCCCCTCACGGCACAGGCTCAAGCCACAGGCTTTGGGGCTCCAGCCAGGTTTCCACAGATGTCGGGCTGACATTTGTGCAGCCCTTGGGGCTGTGCTTTTGCCTTGCCCGTTGTAAGCCATGGACCCTGGCTGGCACGCTGGCCTGCTGCTGAGGCTCTCCAGTCTCCTGAGCCTCTCTTGAGTCCTCTCCAACCCATTGAGCCCTCGCAACAGGCTGGAGGTGACAGTCAAGAGCTCTCGCATGTCGAGATTTGAGTAGGAGATAACAGTGACCGTTGTCTTCTCTCATCCAGAGCCAAAACACACAGTCAGGCTGTGTTTGACTTCGAGTAAGGGCTTGGAGAGAGGATTCAAGATGTTTGCTTGATTTTTATCGTTCGGTGAAGGAGCACATGCAGCTGAGTTTTAAGCCCTCCAAACTGGCGGGAGTGGGAGGTGCTGTGGGTTTGATGTGGGTTTACTGACCTGCTTTGGTCACAGCCTGCAGGGAAGGTGAAAACCAAGCTGCGCAGACCCATCTTCGTTGAGATGGCAAATTAGAGAGGAGGGGGCAGCGCTAGTGGTCAGGCATGTCTCGTAATTTAACTGAGCAGCACTTCCAGGAGCATCTCCCCCGGGCGCGAGGCGGGCCCCCACCATCTCCTCGCTTTCAGCGCAGCAGCCGCTGAGCACAGACACTTGCTGCTGGGGGTTCTGGCTGACGCTGAGCTTGCGTCCCGAGAGTCGCAGCTGCAGCCATCTCCCGAGCTCCTCAGGCGGCTGGAGTTCAGCTCCAGCACACAGCCCAGGGCCTGAGCCTTGTAGGTTCCTCTGACCAGATTTCAGTGGCGATTCCTGCTTGGGGTCCATGGCCACCTCTCCTCGTTCCCGTGCCCCGATCCCCTTGCGGTCTCGGAGCAGGGCGTTCCTGCAGTTCTGCCAGCGTAGCTGCTGCTGAAGCCAACCTCTGAACCGGAGTGGGGAACTGAGCTGCCTTGGAAGAAAGAAATAATTCTATTTTTGCTCTTTTTATTAAAATTAAAAAAGAGAGAAACCTATGGCAGGGGGGGAGGAATGGCTGAGAGGGGCCGGGAAGTCATGGCCCGAGTAGCTCTTCACCAGATGCTGCATCGATGTGTTTGGGATTTCCCGGAGATCCTTGGGATGCACAAAGGACTCCTTCTGCCCAGAGACCCTCAGGGTAACGGGAGGGGCCTCCAGGATGCAGAAGGTCTGGGGAGGCGGCCGACCCCACAGAGCTGCTTTCCCCTGTGGCCACCGTTCATTCCCACCGCTGACCTGCTCCTGCCTTTCCAGGATCACAAGGTCCGGCCTCCGCTTCAACCCTGCCTTTCCCGATGGCATCAACAGGCTGAAAGTCAACGGCGTCTCCTACCTGGGCAACAAACTGGAGTTCACCATCACCAGAGGAGAGATCAGGATCGAAGTGACCGAGTCTCCGCGGGAGCCTCCGCCGTCTGCCCTGGAAGCTGTGCTAGAGGAGTCGGGGCAGCGGCTTCCCCTGCGTGAGG